ACCTGTTATCTTATACCTTATTGGTTCGTCCATAAATTATAGTCTCGCCGTTACATCATTCCAGCATATTGTTAATGGGATTTCGTTGTCCTATTGAATAATTTCGAAATCGTAAACAAAATTCACGTCGTTGGTCATGTGACTGACTATTTTGTATAACGAAATGTTTTATTTTTACGTCAAGTTTGGAACGTTACCAAATAATAGAAAATTAGTGGATAATGCAGCCATTAAAATTTTACATCACCAATCCATTGTCTTCGAAGTATGATAAGTACATAGTGTGGAAAAATCTTTTAGTTTTGAAACTTATCCAAGATATATGTCATTATAAAAAGTAAAGATTTTATAATCTATCGGTTTAATCTCATACTTTTTATGTTGACTAACATGCTCTTGAAATCTAGAAATTAAGACATCAGTGTATTCACTGCTGCAGGTAATTATTGGAGGACACGAAAAATTATATCAATTGTTTGTGCTATTGCGATGTATGCTACTTATACTGAAAGATATAAACAGTATGTAGCACCAGTCGGAAGTGGAATTCCTGGAAGCAGAAGGTTGAAATGAAGAGAACAAGAAGAAAATCAGAGCGATCTAAGGAACAAATACTCTGACACAGCCAAGAGTGGGGAGAGTCAGCTCTCCTCGAAATGCTCTCAAATGGCCACGTGCATAAAACGACTACCAGAAAAGTCCCACTCAATGACTTCTCGTGGAGGGGGTGTTGTTTAAAAAACTGAGAGGACGAAAAGTGAATGTCCGGCTTTTTAACCGGGTTGTTAGATTTAGAGGATCCATTTAGGGAAGTAGGGAAACCCTGATTCCAAATCAATGGTGTACAGTGGCTCCAGGATCCTGTGGGAACAAATGGAGTATGAACCTGATGTTGGTCACCGGCTACCATGGGACTCCATCTCCTTACAATGCTCCACTGCCTTGTGGGTTAGACCTTTAGGTCAAAGGCTTGTTGTGTGGCTCCCTAAGAAAACCACCTGCTTCGGTTTGGGCGCTAGGGCAGTAATTCAGCCCTCACACGAGTCGAATGATTTATGTGGCGCATATCTATTTGGTACCTCCTTGCAGCAATGTTTATGTGTTTAAATAAATAAGTAAAGACTTTAATATTATCATTTTTGTCTGATGGGGAAATATAAACAACATATGGGTGTATGACCTGGTAAAAATGAGGAATTAACAATGAAGCATGAAAGTAACATTGAATATACAGTTATATAGAATACAATATTTATTTATTTTTATTTGAACACATAAATATTGGTACAGGAATGCGCCACACAAAACAATGAGAATTCGAACAGAAAAAAAGAACAATAACGAACAGATTAGTGTAAGGTCGTGTAGTAATAATGGGGGAAACGGAAAGGTACAATCAGAAGAAACCTTTCACTTAAGGAAGAAACAACCACTTTTTTATGAAGAAAGTAAAAGAAGATTACAGCAGGATCGCCACTGACTCCTATTCTGAGCAATATCTAATAACGTCTCTAGCCACTGTGTAGCACCATCTCCACGACCCCAGCTAGGGAGTCGTGAAGGACCAACACAGGCAAACCCTTTGCAGCTTTCTTTCACATCACGACACCATGTCATACACTGACCACCTCTCCGCTTTTTCCAGCCAGTCCCAGAGTCGGCAAATAATGCACGACGTGGAATTCTCTTGGACGACATTCGTAGAATATGTCCAAGCCACCAAAGTCGGCGTTTCAAGATGGTGACACCAATTGCATTATCGTCTCTGTGTCCGAACACACGATACCGAACCTCTGCATTACTGACATGGTGTTGCCACTGGATGTCGGCAATCCTTTGGAGACAACGATGATCGAACACAGAGAGTCGTCTAACATCTTCAACTCGGAGAGGCCAGGTTTCACAAGCATAGAACAAAACTGCTCTCACCAACGCGTTGTAGATCCGACCTTTTACAGCCAGACTATCATCACGAGGGTGCCAAAGATGGCCCAGATTGGCATAAACCGCTCTGGCTCTCACTATACGTGCATTGATTTCACCACTCACGCCACCACCAGCACTTATGCAGCTACTCAGGTACACGAACTTCTCAACTACTTCTATCTGCTCACCATCCAGATTGAGTACAGGATAAGAATCCTGCCAGTCTTGTAGAAGTATTTCGCTCTTCGAAGGTGCAAAGCACATACCATACCTACGGACACTGATTGCCAACTGATTAAGGGCGGATTGCATGGCTTGGGCATTATCGCACAGTAAGACAATATCATCCGCATACTCAAGGTCGAGAAGTCTTTCTCCGGGTAACAGATCCACAACCTACGAAGTATGACGGAAGCCAATAGCTTGGACGCAATCGGAAGTAGACTTATCCCCCGATAGTTGTTACAGGAACGACGTGAACCCTTTCTAAAGATAGGGACAACTATCGACTCATTCCATGACGTTGGTACACTCTCTAGCTCCCAAACCTTTGTAAACAACGTCGTCAGTTCCTTAGTTAGAAAGTCTCCACCATCTTTAAAAAGAGACGGAGGTAAGTCATCTGGGCCCGGTGATTTGTAACGCTTCAAGAGTTGGAGTTCTTTGCGGACTTCCGCCTCATTTGGTGGATCAGTCGTCACCGGCCATGGAGGGCAGGACAGTCTGACCGATGTTGCCGGAGCAGCAGGCCAATTGAACTGCCCTTCGAAAAATTCTGCCCATCGTCCAAGACGTCGATGGATGTTAGTGATTGGCATCCCATCATCCTCGCAGATTGTTTCGCTCACACCAGACTTCTTGCTGCCAGTAGCTCGTATGAGTTGGAGGAGCTTCCGGTAATTACCAGATGCAGCTGATGCTTCCAGCTCATTAGCACGCTTCGACCACCAGGCTTCTCAGTCCTTACGCATGCTTTGCCCGATTTCATTACGTAACAGCTTTCGTTTGTGGTCAAGCTCGCGGTCATCCGGAGTAGACCGACGGGCTTCGATGAGTTGTAAATAGCCAGAAGAAACCCAGTGCTTATAAGCGGGAAGTTTCGCGAAGCCGCAAGCGGCTTTACTCGCCATGTTCATGGGGTCATGAAGTACTATAAACTATGTTGAACCATATTTATGTTTGTTATTACATTATTCTTTAAATGATTAAATTGAAAAGAGAAAAAACACATGCATAAACAGTTAACTAAAATGAAAATCTGAAGGAAACATGTAAAATTTGTGAGAAAATAAAGATCAACTGAGACAATATCACATTTGGATAAAAGATGTAGAACAAGAAAAATTAATTGAGAATTTTATGATTGATTACGTCATAAATACTCTCTGTGTTTAGACGCCTTTGTTCTGTTTCACTCTTCCACATTTCAAAATTGAACTTCTCATCTCGATAGTGGAAAGCATTGTAATGATTGTGTTGTGTTATTAGTTAACTAAATTGTTTTCCAAACATAAACAAAACTTATACTCTCTTTGTAAGATTAATGTAAATGGGAAAAGTGTTTAAATTATGGGAAGAAATAAAGTGTGTGTGTGTGTGTGACTTCATTCAAGTTCTACAGTGTTTATTAATTCATATTAATGTTTATTTTCACATAAACAAATTTGGTGAGAGTACACATACACATAATCGTTTTATTTTTGTCTGAGAAATATTTAGATGAAGAATACATCAAATGAATGTGATCATCCTTTTTACTTTTAAAAACTGTTAGTGATTCATTTACATGAAAGTAAATATATTGCATGGTTTAAATCATGAAAGGATCTTAGCCAAAATCATGACTGGAAAACTGAAAGGAGTGGATGACTGTTTTGCCATAGTATGGGACTTCTCAGTAGAATAATTGATGATTTAAACTATGAGAATTCTACAATCTCTACGAATTTCCTCTATACAACAACTACTACTACTACTACTACTAATAATAATTATTATTATTATTATCTACTCACAAGTGACAAGCTTCAGAATAGAATTGCCGGAGTTCTAGTGAGAAGCTGTGGTTAGTGGAGTTCTATCATGTAGTGTGTAAGAAGGTTGTGGAACATCTTGAGTTGATTGAATTTAAACATGTACACCGTTAGGTGTCTAATCAGTAGTCCATTTTCGCCAAATATAATTTATACTTAGCCATAATCTTTACATCATAATATTAGCTAATTTGCTCTTCTTTGCTTACTATTATCTTGATCAACCCCCCTGATTGATTAGCTTAGATATCTTATTAGTGTAGGGTTACTTCGTTACTATTTTTGGAAGCCCAGACCATGATTCGAAAGTGACAAGTGACAGCTTTTACTGATAAATAACATTTTTAAAATCACATTTTTTAAACTGTTGGTAATTTTTAAACCTTTAGAAATTTACGTTACACTTAAAAATTCACTATATCTACCTCATTTAAACGATAGTTTTTCCACAGATTCAAATCCCATCGTACAGTCAAACGATTAACCCTCACATAACAGGTCTGCGACTCCGAATCATTGTACATGAATCTACACTGAACTACATTAAATCACATTATTTCTTTAGCCCCACCTGTGAATGGAAACAACAACGAGTTTGTATAATTTGAATGGGGTTTTTGTCAAGGATAGACATTGAAAACATTGGTATACTCAATTAACGTTCCGTCGCGTTGTGAGATTCTTTAACAAAGTAGATTCGTAACCTTTTCACTGATGTAAACCAGAATTCTCATGTCCCTCGTCGAACATGTCATCCTCCTTCTCAGTCGGGATCTATCGGTTTACGATTTTAATTTCAGTCAGTCAGTGTTAGAATTAATTGTTATGCGACTTAATTTTGGATGGTTGAAATCAGTATTGAACTTAAATACCCAACTTATGTACATATTTATCACAATTGTGACTTCATCTAAATCTGAGATTGTCATTATTTATTGAAATTTGCAGTCCTTATCGTTTTAAATACTCTTTAACTATAATAAAAATAAATTATGAATACGTAAAACGATGTTGTATTTATTTGCTTTTTACTATTTACAGGTTGATGAACTCTTAGAAAACTATGAAGAAAATACTATGTATGAGGTTGGTAAACTATTGGCTAATAAACTAAATATACCGTTAACTGAAAATAACAGCTTGCCGTCTTGGTTTCCTCGTGTATCATCTAGACAGTTACGCAGCTCAGGTGGTGATAATCTGTTACCTAGTATAGAAGTGCCCAATGAGCAGTCTAATTATGTACGAGACGTTCAACAAAACCGTGATAATAACATTTCTAACAGTGGGAATGGCAGAGATCCACTAAGTTCTGTTCGTTACCCATTGAGCACTGCTTCTACTGGTGATAGGGGTGTCGTCGGTGGCAGTGGTAGCGTTTCTCCAGAATTATGGGATGATGAAATATTCGATGATGCAATATTGAGTCATGCTGCTCAATCTATGGAGAAACAGTTAGATTGTAGTAGAAGTAGTAAGTTTATTTTTAAGTCTATAGTTTTTCGTAATAATTACTTTTGTGGAGATTGTCATTCCACCTGGCTCTGAACATAATGAAGAGCGGAGTCAGCTTAAGCGCAAGCTGACAAGAAGTCTACGCAATGATCGCGAACAGTGGTGGGTAGCGAAAGCAAGATAGATGGAAAAGGCAGCGGCAATAGGTAATAGCAGACAATTGTTCAGACTCGTTAAGGAAACCGGAATTAGGAACCCGACCGTTAGCGAAACAATCTCAGAGAAAGATGGACATATTATTCATTCTCAATCCAGGAGATTGGATCGATGGGCAGAACACTAGGGATCAGTTCAACTGGCCTTCAGCCACACTTCGGTTTCCCACGATCTCTAGTCAACCTGAATAGCAAGTTAATGTAGGTCCTCCGTCCCTTTACGAAGTTGAAAAAGCCATAGGAAATCTGAAACGAGGGAGAGCAGCAGGCCCTGACAGGTTTACTCCTGAGATTTTTAAGGATGGTGGTCCAGTATTAGCAATGAGATTAACCGAGGTCTTAGGTAGAATTTGGGAACTGGACGTAATCCCATCTGACTGGTCTCAATCACTGATTGTGCCAGTCTATAAGAAAGGACAAAAGTCCTCTTGTGACAATCACAGAGGAATCAGTTTGACTAATATAGTGTCTAAAATATTAACTTCAATAATACTTCGACGCCTAACCAAAGCTCGTGAAGAACAGACTAGAGAAAATCAGGCTGGTTTTCGACCTGGACGTGGTTGTATAGACCACATATTCACACTACGTCAGGTTCTAGAACACAGACGCCCCACAATAGTAGTATTTCTCGACGTTAAGGCGGCATTCGACTCTGTTGATCGTGAGGTTCTATGGCAGTGTTTGTCACTGAAAGGAGTATCAAAGAAGTACATTAATCTTATAAAGGCTCTCTACTCGAACACAACTGGTAGAGTGAGAGCTTATGGCGAACTGTCATCAGAATTGATCACCTCAAGTGGTGTTCGTCAGGGCTGTCCACTCTCCCCATTTTTGTTCAACTTTGTGGTCGACGTACTTTTAGAGATAACACTCTCCTCATCTAAATTTCCAGGGGTTGAACTTCTACCGGGAGGTTCACTTGTTGACTTGAAATATGCTGATGACATAGTTTTATTTGGTGAAGACGCTGACAAAATGCAGAGTCTTCTGACCACTCTAAGCAACAATGCAAGCATGTTCGGGATGCGATTCTCTCCCTCGAAATGCAAAATGTTGCTTCAGGATTGGGTTACATCGACACCCGAACTAGTGATAGGGAGTGAAGTAGTTGAGTGTGTCGACCGCTTCACTTATCTTGGAAGTCTCATCAGCCCTTGTGGTTTAGTGTGTGACGAAATCTCAGCACGGATACAGAAGGCTCGACTAGCTTTTGCCAACTTGCGTCATTTATGGCGTAGGCGAGATATCCGTCTATCAACCAAAGGACGTGTTTACTGCGCAGCAGTTCGTTCCGTCCTACTTTATGGCAGTGGAACATGGTCGGTAAGAGTAGAGGATATTCGGAGGTTACTAGTATTCGATCATAGGTGTCTTCGAAGCATTGCTCGTATATCATGGGACCATCGAGTAAGTAACACAGTTGTTAGAAAACGGGTACTAGGTAAGGATGGCAAATCAATTGATGAAGTAGTGAAACTTCATCAGTTGAGATGGCTGGGACATGTGTTACGTATGCCCAACGACCGACTGCCTCGACGTGCTATGTTCGGTGGTATAGGAGTAGGTTGGAAGAAAGCTAGAGGCGGCCAAACCAAAACATGGCACAAATCCATGAAGTCACTGACAAGTGGACTGAGTCATGTTGGTAGGTGTAGACTACCTGGTTGGGAACCGCGAGATGATAGCAACCGGTGGTTAGAGACGCTGAATGACATGGCTCAAAATCGTTTGCAATGGCGCAGGTGCATCCACTCTCTGTGTTTTCCCAAATTCTAATCTTCTGAATTCTTCATGTCCCTTTTTTCCTCTTTCCGAATTTATTTCACTGGAATATACTCTTTAAATAACATCTCCAAACCCTAATCTTCCCGATTTCTGCTTATACTCTTATCACTTCTACCACTACGGGATTTGAATCGACAACTGCATCTCTGTGCTAATGTGGTGTGGGAACTTGAACTGATGTACGTACGTACGAAGTTCTACGTTGTTACTGACTGACTGACTGACTGAGATTGTCAAATTTAGAGTTTATTATCACAGACTGACTTTAATTAGACAGACGTTAAAAACCAGTAAGCACCAGACAGGTTTACGGCTTTGTATGGGACTTTTCAGCAGTGGATATTCACAACCACATCAAGTATTGAATCTAGGAAATTTAGGTCTTGTGGAAATCACTTAACCTTCAGGTTTGAAGGGGTTGTAGATAAGCAATTCTGAATAGAGTCCCATACTAAGGCGATTATTTGAGCGATAACAGTTATCTCCTAACAATAGTTCAGTTCATTAAATTTATCCTACAACTGATAATCTTTACTGCGGAGCACAATGCACGCCGATATCTGATATATAAGGGAAGTACTAAGTTCTTATTATTGCCATATGGGGCTTGTGGGAGGTTGCAGAATTTTCATAGTTTAAATCACGAACTGATATAATCCAAACAATCATTAAAAACTATGAAGTACTTCACAACTTTCAACCTAGTACGGGACTCTTCATCGATACTCATCCACAACCCCACCACAAGAGATTGAACCCAGGATCTTTAGTCCCATGGACGGAATGATTGTCCAATACTTTCTGGTTTTAATTGGTGGTCTAGCTAAGAACAGTTCGTGACTTGAACTATGAAAATTCTTATTATTTAACTTATAGAACGTTTGCGACTATTAGTAAATATTTCCCCTCTAATAATTCTTTTAAGTGACCTGAGATTATTATTTAATTCATTTCTTGAATTGATTTAAAACTATGTAATATCACATGAATCAATGAACTTCAAGGTAAAATAATTTTAAAGGTTTTGTCATTACTTTTTGCTTTCATTTCAACTTTACACTAAATACTACTTATAAGTAAGCATGTTTTAAAAAACCATCGCAACTGCTTTCTCTTCAACAGTTAGCCTTGCTTAGAAAGTAATTTAAGGAGAAAACTTATGATCAGTTATCATAGCTAAATAGATTCATCACGTCCAAGTGACCGGCTCAGAAACTTTTTTTGTAAACACCCTAGGGATTTTGTTATAGTGTTGAATTTTTAAATATTACATATTTATGATCATACTGTCATAATAAGAATAGGACTACTCTAGAGGCTCTTTACAAATTCATTCTAGTCAATCAAATATAAGGTTGAATCTAGCACAAATTTGAATTAGTCCGAGTTTTGTATCTCGTATGAGCACAATGAGAGATAAGATGAAAAGCCAAGTTGTACAATATACTTTTTGAAAACTGAACATATAAAACCTAGTGTGAAATAAATGTATGGATTAGTAATTTGATGGGTTGAAGGATCTAGACAACGAGTAAGGATAAATACATTTGGATGACTATGAAAAATTTCTGACCATAGGAATAATGCACTTTCAAATATAGCTCCCATCAATGGTCAATGACTTTATGGACTGACTCAACATCGTGGTTTAACTATACCCCAGTCGTCTTCCAACTTGCTTTTGTATTTTAACTTAGAGATTAGTTTACTACAAATAACGAACATCAAATCAATATTTTTTATAATGATTATTTCTAGGTGTATCGATTCCACGAAGTTCTGTCCATTCGTTCAATGATCCACTTCGTTTACCAACAAGTGTTATATCTGATGAACGAGAGCGACTGTCAAATGAATCTAAATTTAGTGGTCTTCAACGTACTCACAGTGTTGTTGATGAGAGCGAAAACAATGTTTCTATTGATAGCGATGATCCGTTTTTAGAAGATCAAGTCGATCCAGATATATTGGCTTCTGCTCTAGCTGAAATAGACGAACAACAGTCAATGAATTCTACAAACTTTCCCAAAACTAATCAGTTAAAAGGGAATGAGATGCGAATTTTTCAATCCAATAAAAATGTATCCGAAAAAACTGCAACTTCGTCCACATTATCATCAACTTTAATGAAAACAAGTACAGTAAGTCAACCGATAAAATCACAAATAGAATCAAAACAAAGTTTGAAACAAACGTTATTAAAGCTACAGTCACGCAGTCGATTAGTGAATAAACTGAATGATAATCCATCACTCCCTTCTTCTTCTTCTTCTAAACCGCAACCGACTGAACCATTCTCACCAGAACCAGTAAAACCAGACATCAAAAAAGTACAAACTAACATCGACAACAATGAAGATCTTCTGCCACCAGTTCCTAAACGTAAAATATTGGAATTCAAACAAACAAACAGTACTATTGCAAGTAATAGTAAATCTAACAATATACTACAGTTTGCATCTTCATCCAGCCATCAAGTTGTTTCAACGGCTACAGAAGATAATCATGATAAACACATGGTCAGTAGTAGACAACTGTCATCCAGTTCATTGGGAATTGATTATCACTTTCATCCATTTTGTTATATTCAAGTGAGTTTAGACTAAGTTAACCCTTACATATTTCTGTCTTTTCAAAATTGCAAGCCTGATTTGACTTGTGGTGAAGATTAATCTCATTTTAAATTATTCGAAACCACTGAGCACTGGATGACTGATTTATCCTAGTAAGGAATCCTTCAGCGTTAAAATTGATTGATTTTTGCAAGTCATTTATCTACTACTGGGCTACGTACTCAACTCTGACTCATGTTGTTTGTGTTGGCTAATTCGACTACCTGACTAGTGAAACCAAAGTACGTGAAGTATAGGGTAAAACTAGCGACCCACAAGTTGGAAGCTGGGTAGCCTAACCATTTAACCACCTCCAGATACAATTACGTAACAAACTGTCTACAATTTATATTTTACATTTTCATAAAGTGTTCGCTGGCCAATTGAAGCTATCGCGTACCTGGTAAAATCATTACTCAATTGTCATCTGTTAACATTTTGTTTCAAATTCGTATTATCTCAAATCAGTTAGTTCAATCTTCAGAAAACAATCTTCATCTTAACATGTTATCAATTTTAATGAGTAAACACAATAAGGTAAATAAGCCTGTGTTGCAAACAATATTAACTTGTAAAGGTGACTTAACTCAAAAACATATTGAGCAGTCGGATAGTTTAGACTAATAATAAGCTGAACAAGAAAATTATTGAAGTGATTTATTTTCCTTCTGGTGTTGTTTGAAGAAAAAACAGTAAGGTTGATGAGAATCAGTTAGGTTATTAAAGTACTTGTCAAATGTCAAAACATATATATTCCTCGTTAACCATTTGACGGTGTCTTATACGAACAAATATTCACTTAGTTTAAACAAAATTATTTAATTATTCGCTTAGTTTTAAATGATGTAACTAACTAATATTTTTAATACGAATAATGCTATATGATCATTCCTCTGGAGGAAACTTTCACTTCTTGTTAGCTGAGTCTCAAAGTATCCTTCGTCAAAATCCCTAGAGGCCCATAGTGGCCAGGAAACGTTTTACGTAATCAGCGTTGAATGGAATCTTCGCAGATACATCTATAAACTGCGAAATCATGCAGCACGCTTCTAATTGTTTGTTTACTTATACTGCCATTATATTTTTTGTGGCCCCAGAAATTTCCAGAAGCCCAAGGTCTTGTGTAGCTCTATAAGTATCCTCGTCTTTGCTTATATAATCTAACTTTGAAATTGATAAGTCTTCTAAACTGGTCTTAAACTATATCAGCTTATCTCTTTGTTCTTCTTTCATGGACCTCCTGAGTTTCTATTGATCGAGATATGATTAATCTTGTTTCCTGTAGTGTGGTTTAGTGAAATCTATGTAGTTTTATGTATTGATTTGCGGAGGAAAATGTTCCCATCTATAACCATATTGTTGAAAATACACAGATTTACCAATCTCTCTCCATTCTAGTTCCTTTCTCCCAGTCCGTGTTGCCCCATAGTGCGTTCACGCTTAGCGCTGTCCATCTCAACTTTGGCGTATAGGTCCCCCATCAAGACGACTAGGTTTTGCCTCAGCCACTCATAAAACTGGTCTCTGTCCTTGCTGCTATCACTGATAGGTGCGTAGCACTGTATAACATTCATTGTATTCCCTTTAGTTTTAATGCTTTGATAATCCTGAAGCCATGTGATTCCCATCCTAATTTGGAACTGCTCAGTTATTCTCACTAATGAACTAGCATAGGATTGAGACGAAGATCTTCAGTCATCACGTGGCTTAATGGTTCGTATTTTTAACTTTGATCAACTCATAATGTTACTCCCAAAGATTATCAATTATCTTCATGAATAACAGACTTGAAAGTCCCTGGTCTTATAGCTGATTTGTAGGTACTTACAGCCTTTAGAGCCTCGTGTGAAGACGCAACATCCATAGTGTTCGCTATATCTAAATTTCCATTTGAATGAAGTCAGCCTACCAAGTGAATCATCACATTGAAAACTCTGAACTAACTTCATGTTAATTATGGATTCGGTGTTCTCATCTACACATTTTCGCGCATCGCTTTATACTACTTGCTAATATTCAGTAATCAGTTCAAGTAATTTATGATATCTAATATCCTAATGTACTTACATTAACTAAAGACATTTACTTTATTCATTATTTTCATTACATCCTCTCAACCCTTGTAACTGTTATTTTTAGTTGCTTTTTTGTATTCCTCGAATTTTCGTTTAAACTTGATAATTTATTTGTTTATGTGGTCTTAGTCCTGGTTCTGATTGTTGATAGTCATTATCGACTTTAGTCACAGCTACCGGCTGTCATTTACATCATCGAAGTATTTTTCTTTTCATACATATAAATACGTTAACCGAAACCGATACCACACGAGTTGAGAATCGTTCCTTACATAAATCGTTGTTTTGAACCTTGATTTCAGGCGTATCTTAGTCATGTAGTCGAATGCTTCGATAGAATCAACATTTATTCATAACAAAACATAGGTTGGTGATACTATCTAGTTCTCCAAAAGCAACCGATGAAGTTGGTTAGCCGCCAAAAGTCAAACTTCCACAGAAGTTCACTACAATTTCAGAAAACGATACTTGAAAAATGTTTCAAGATGGCTTTTTATCAGAATATTGTGAGTCCTAATATTGACTTATCTGAAGAATGAAGTATGATCGTGAACATAGTGTATCATCATGTAGGAGAAACATGAGGACGATGAATCCCAAGTTAATTCACTGAGAGCATGTAATGGCATTTTCAATCGATTTCGAAGTAGATGAAATTAGAAAGTGTTAGTGATTCAACTCAGTGTATAACCATATTGTAGATGCACATATCTGATAAATCTCATTGCAACGAAACATTCGCTCACTGTTTTCTCATTTTAATTTAATTTCCAGTTATTTTCAAAAGACATATTAACATTACATATTCACTGGTCGTTCTGAAGTTGAATTTTTTTTTCAATTGACAGTTTTTTTTAATAAAAACTTTCATTTGTATTATCGTTAATACTGATTAGGTTTCATCATAATCTTTTGTAGGATATATATGATAAACTACTTAAAACAAAAGATAGTAGTAATGGTTCAGCCTCCATAAATACTGTTTACACAATTCGTGGTTTGCTTATTAGTTTGTTGTCATCATTAGAACATCATAATGGTACTAAATGGACACTAGCTGTGCGAATTACAGATGGTAGTGCAATTCTTGATCTAGATGTCGCTTCAGACTTACTAACTGAATGGATTGGTTTAACTCCTAGTGAAAGTGAATCATTAAGACGATTGAGTAAAATTGACTCGGATTCTTCGAATCCACTTGCACTTCAAGAGGTGAGTGTTATTTTCTTTTTTCATCCAGTCTGGTGATTCGAAACGTTTTTTCCTTACTCGATAATGATATTTTAAAACGTTGCTGTGAGAGTATAATGAAATATTCATTCATCATTTTATCTCCATGATTGTTATATTATTCTGCTACACTTGTTTTTGATGCTTTACTGAAAAATGATTATTTTTTCAAATTGCAAACTGGTCTTAGCTAGAGCGCCATTGAAAGCAGGACGTTTTGGCTAGGGTTTCATTCTAGTATGGATCCCCTCATTATTGCACTTCTGTAACCCTATGGTGGCTGGTACTATGCTAAGCTGACATAGGTTTTTCTAGCCTCTGGATAGACCAACCTATTCATTCTCCTCAAGCCACATTCTTGCCTTGTGACTTATTCGCTTATTAACCTTAACGGTTTTTATTTGAGTGTATGTGTGCTATTTACCTACCTTATTCATTATGTGTCTGTATTTTTGTTTGACTATAAATATCGAGTCACGATTGATAAAATGGAGTTGGCTCACTCTCCTTCTCCATTTTTCGTCATTTCGGTTTCCTTCTCTCTCTCCTCTTCTCTGCGTTTCCCTGATTGTTTATCCAAACCAATGAGCGTATTCAAACTTTATTCTCGTATTTGACTTATTTTAATTCTGTTATTCACTAACGCGAGTTAATTCGATAATTGTATGCGAGGGTAGACAGAATGTATATTTCGATGACAATCATAACACGATTTAATTAGAGTCAGATGAAGGGCCACACTAAATCCTCACCACTGGGAATCGACCTCAGGACCTTCTGTCTCATGCACACGGACATTTAATCTCTAAACCACCAGCTTGTAATCTAAAACTATGGAAATTCTACAATCTCCAAAAAACCCCTTTTACTGAAAGTTTGCTTATAAGTTTATTATCTTCCCATGCTCTAACGATTATCTCCCAGCGTTTCATAAAAAAAACAAAACAAACGACTCCGTGTTATTATTGTTTGAGTTATGACGAAATAGATATTTTCATACTGTGTTGTAGACAGTAATTCAGTGTTATTTTTGTTAATTACATAAAGTTATGCGCTACACCAACCAAATAAATAGGATTATAAAGAAATACAAGAGGGAATAAAAATATTTAGTAAGAACTGCACTTAATTTAAAAGATATACAACTAAGAAAGACGTTCTCCTTTGCCTATACTGTAAGTAAAGGGAAACTATATCAGGATCACCACTGATTTCTCTTCTGAGCCTTATTTGATAACATCTCAATTCACTCTGTCACACCATCTCTCGTACTCCAATCACATAGTCATAATGGAACACAGTTTTCTTCTGTACCCCGACGCCTTGTTATAAAATGACCATTTTTTCTACCCAGTCCCGAAATCGGAAATTGTTCCCCGATGTAGAAGCTATTCGGATGAAATTCGTACAAAACATATCCGGGGCTCCGAAGCCGATGTTCAAAAATGGTCACAACAATTGAATTATCAGAATACTCATTGCCAAAACTGAGTATTACTGACATGATGTTGCCATTGAATGGCAGATATCATTGGAAGACAACGATGACGGAACACAATGAGTCGCTAATCATCCTTAACCCTGAGAGTCTGGGTTTCAAATGCATGGAACAAAACGATGACTCCAAAGCAGCTGTTCAGACTGATAAGGCACTCTGGTTTTCACTGTACCCAAATACACAAATATCTCAACTACTTCCAATGCATCACTACGGAGAGTGTTTCCAGACATATACCCCTGTCATTATTGGGGAAATACTTTGTATCTAAAAGATGCGAATAGCATGTCACTCTTACGGCAGCTGATCAAGTGGAATCTACACAATTTGTGTCATCACAATATAAGGCAGTATTATTTACATTCAAGATTGAAAAGTCTCTCTCCACACCACAACATACTTCATTCATTGCTGTTTCCAGAATATCATCGATGACAAAGTTGAAGAGGAACAATGAGATTGGGCGACCCTACCCAACTTCATTGATGAATCAGGACAATGGTGAAAGGTGATAGTATCCCTTCACTATAAACTATCACACCATAATCGAAAATCGTATCATCCAATTAAAGTCATTCTAGTTTTAAATACCTGACTTCATATTTCAGTATAGTGTAGTCAGTTGAAATCTAACTACTACGAATTGACAACAAATAACAACAGTGACATTATTTGTTGAAAAAGCTTAATAAGTTCATTTTATACTAGTATTTTAAAGACGAATTACGAGTGTAGTTTTGTGAATTAACTTGACTATTATGTGATTAGTTAGTAAGGGATACTGTTCAAATTTTCTCATATATACTACCATCGTTTAGAGACGTTACATTTTTGATCGATAACTCCAAGAAAAAACTGTGAAGGATAAATGATTATTAAAACAAATTTGTAGAAATTTTGGATTAATAGATTTATAGTTTTAAGAGTTATAATTACATGGCATGACAGTCCGTCCGTATTGAAAAGTAAGGTAGTTGGGACCAGTGGGTTTTTATAATGGTCGTGCTATTTCACCGGTTGGTTGGTTGGAATTAGAATTAGATCAGTGAATCCCAATACGATGGTATAAAAGTTAATTGTTTGTCGATCGTCCTGGGTTTAATCCCTATTGCAATGGAGATGTATACTGCTAGAGAGATCATGATTAAAGTAAAAGTTCTGTTCAGCTCTGTATGATCTTCAATGGATGACCTTATCGAATGACAACCCGTGAAGCACATGTCTAATGTAAACAAACTAATCTTCACAAATTTCTTAACAGAAATAATTGTTATAACACAATAGATTCGGCTAAAAGCAAGATTCAGGAAGTATGTGTCATCCTATTTACGAGTTATGAGCTTGATATATCTGCACTCTAGTCTTAATGCTCACATCAGGATTAGAATCCTGTACTTTCGTCTCAAATGATAAAGCGTTACTCACTGAGCTACTGAGTTAAGATTTTTATTGACTTTTTCAACACATGACGTGTTTATATCGTTATTACTAAGAGTTTAAACTATCCCGTCGTTGTACATTCAGCTGACGAGTCGCAAATAGGATGATACACATTCCTAGGTTTCCACTGTTATCCATAATTCATCTATTTTAAACAATCTTTGTTTCAAGTGACTATGTCAAGATAATCCGTATAGGATAACATACATCAAAATGAAGAAATGATCAGAATTCAGTCCCGAATATCAATAAAATGTTAAGCTAAAACCTTGTTATTATAGAAATTAATTTTTCATCTGTTACTCAATGATTATTTACAAATTCAATTAAATATTACTTATTTATTACATATACGTTCGAGTTCTTAGTCTCAGTCATCTGTTAATTAAAAAATTAAATATCAGTTGTCCTTATTGTTAATACACAGGCATCATAATAGAACAGTTTCAAAGTGACTCCTCAATAAGGCAGGATTTGTATAATCTCTCATTAATGATTGAATTTGTTTTCATCTTGAAATCCATATAAATATTGCTCACAATGTTACAATTGTTTAAGATATTGCGAGTCGTGGACTGTTATTACTGTTATTATCATTAGTAATAGTAATAATAATAATAATAATAATAATAATAATAATAATAATAATTTGGTTAGTGTTTATTTAGCAAAGTTATTTTCTGCAAGATGTAGATGCTGACCCCATGTCCAACTCTTTTCTTTTATCTGGGCTTGAAACTGACAGTTGCTCTAGAAGAGCTACAGGCAGAGCTAATAATAGTAATAAAATATGTGTATATAATTCAAGACTTATTGAAAATTGAATATTCTTTGACTTCTGTGTATCTTAGAGAAGAGAAAAAAAGATGAGAAAAACAGCGAAAAGAACAACTTCTTTTCATTTTATACATTTATCATTATCATTTTATCTTTAATATTAAACATAAAAACCGTGTGAAAAGAGAAAAGTTAACTAGCTAAATGTTATTCTCATTATTATTTTTAATTTTCTAATGATTGCGTGACCGATTTTTGTACCAGGAAGTAAATGTCAAATTTACTTAAATAAAGTGTTATTATGTTCTTCTACTCTTTTCCACTTCATCACTGTCATGCTTTATATTTATTTAATTTGTTCATCTTGTTAATATATTCCTATACATATAATTTTATAGATAAGTTTTTCATTGGTTATTTTCTTGTTTGTTTGTGTCTTATATGTTGTTCTATTGTGTTATTGGTGGAGTTTTGTTCCATGAAGTGGATGGTTTGGTCGTCGAGCTTTCATCATTTTTCTGAACGACATCTCTACGGCCAAACCATCCAGCTCAAAGAACAAAACTCCACCGAAATCATCCACCTGAGCTATAAATCTTCTCCACCATCTCTATTGTGTTAGTTATTCTCCACTTTTTCTTATCATTATTATTAAACAATGATGTGAGAATAGTTCAAAGCAATAATAGTAATACTGTTCATACTACTGATCTGCTTAAGTATTCTCATTTTATGTATTGTTATCTTTTATTTCTACTACTAGGCACAAAAACATCGTCAACGTTTACGTACAGCATTAACAAATTTCCAAATATTTTTATCACATTTAGGCGGTTTATTCAATATTACAATTCAAACATGCAATGATAATGTTGTAAAATGTGAAAAGAATACAGCAAACAATACTAATACTGCTAATACTACTACTACTACTACTAGTAGTAGTAGTATCGATCAGTCATCTTTATCATCATCGATACGTCCCATTTTAATAGGTTATAAAGAAATAGATCAATGTTGGTTGAAAGAATTACAAAATAGAATTAATGTTCGTTATACAGAGAAAAGTTTGTTGTAAAAGATGAAAGATAAATAAATGAATTTTCATGTTATTCTTCATTTTGTAAATAAATTAATTAATATATTTGTGCTTAGTTTTATGTGTATTACAGTTTATGTTTGAACAGTATTATTTTATTACATTCCAAAGGAAATGTAAAATTATATGCAAATATTTACTATAACGATGACAAAACATACTGTCTCCTTTTGTTTTCTTATTGGTTTTTGTGGTAAATGATGGATAATAATTACACTTGTGACAGTTTAATGATGTTTTAATTGGTTGGAATTGTACAAAGTCGACTAGGTTTTTCTTAAGGGCGAATATTAATAATGTGTGATATGGATTAGTAGTATCTTGATTCGAATTTCTCATTGGTTATTAGTTATATACATCAGTAAATCTTCTAATTAATCACTTGTAACCGACTTTCTAAATACTTCTCTAGACTCTATATCTACACTCAAAATCGTATAATAGGAAAAAGGCGCGAATTATGAGTAGAAGCTTCAATTTAAATTGAATTGATATGCATAAAATCGGATTCACTTGTCGGTTTTTTTTAGTGACCTTGATCTTCTAGAAACTTCCGTAGACTTCCGAATGCAGTATTAACGTAGGTAATTATTCAGCGTGATATATAATCGTTCATTTTCCCAGATGGCTCTGACGGGCTCCTCACAATGCCGACCGGACGAAACTTTTTGACCCTTTCTAGACTTAAAGTGACTTTGTAGAGGGATATTTATGAACTTCCGACAACACGAATGTTATTTTGTTGTATATTTAAGTTATGAACATCTCTTTTTGACCGACTAGGTGAATTAAGTAGAAATCTATTTCTCTGTTTTCACCAATATATATATATATATATATATATATATATACAATATTAAGAAAACTCTAATTTATTGTCAGATATACTTTATTATTCAGTGTCACTTATTACAGGTTTGCATCATGAAATCAGTTGATGAAGCTACTTGTTGGTCGGAGCCTGTATTACAAGGCGCTGACCTCCTAATCGTAACTTGTTCAACCCGAATTCGACTTCGACAACAAAAATAGTTTGTATTCATCTTTCATTATCTCCTAGACCTTGGATAGTCATGAAGTTTAGTCTTGTTCATGCTGTAGTTTGTCTATGTTTTCTCTAGTTGTGTCATTTTATATTCTACTATATTTTTATTTTGTTCTCGTTGTTTTTCAGTCCTTGTTAAGATCCCTTGTTATCATCTTAAATACCTTATCGTTTTTAGTGAACTTCCTGATGAAAAGCAACGTGTTACTATAGTATCCTACTTTTAGAACCTAAAAAAATATACTTGTTATTCTCTCTATATATATTTATGTCCTAAATTCATTGCTCATAACTGAACTCGGTCTGTATAACGCTGAATGTGTTCCAATGATAAATGCCGGAAATTTGACTGTATCGAATAAAGGAGAAGAAAGCTACAACCATATAAATTTCATTTAGTATACCTATATCAATCATTCTCATATGATTGATACTAGTATGTAGTTAACGATTAATTATTATAATTTATTAATGTGTTTATAAGTAACAATCATAACGTTTTTTAATAGGTATACTAATGAAGACATTGTTCTACTTATTATACAGTCATATGATTTATGTCTAATTTCAATTAATGAGGTTTGTTACATTGAATAATAATGATACTAAATGTCTTATTGGTACATTGAAAAATTTATAAGATTAAGTCAGAGTTTTTAACTATGTCAAGGTTTTGTAATAGCAATAGTAGTACTCGGCAAAGCAATATGTTATCATATTTAAATTAAAGATTTTGATGGATGAATTATGGATTACTTGAAGTTAGATATCAACACCGTTGGGTACCGGCTCAGTGGTCTAGAGTTTAAACGTTCTCACGCGAGACCGATAGGTCCTGAGTTCGAGCTTCGCGAGACGGGATCATGGATGTGCACTTCTGAGGAGTCCCACAATAAGACGAAACAGTCGTCCAGTGCTTCTAGGTTTTCCATGTTAGTCTAGTTTGAATTGCCTCATGATCTGAACTATTAAAATGAGTTATAGTTAATAAATGAACGATTGCTGGTACTTTGCTTATATTCACCAACAGGTTAGTCATTGTTTTGTTAAATATATATATATTTGTGTGTGCAAATCATACATTTTTGAAAAATATTTTCGTCATGTGTTCTTATTTCAATGAATTATTAAGGCTCTTAGATTGTGTAGCACGAATTGGTAGTAGATTTTTGTGTGCGTATATACCATTGGAGGTACTTTTTTATAGATATAGTATGCATATGAAAATCTAGAAGAAACAATTTTTTGTAAAAAAATTTTATGTTAGCTAAGAGATCAATAAACACACTGGATGTACTTTCAGTGATTCACCAACTGATATTCATCTGTCATGAAAACTTCATTCGAAGTTAGCCAATCTTGATAAAACACCCACTTAAAAGAAAATTTAAAAATAAAATCTCACAATTTTATTTATTTTTAAAATTAAAAAAAAAACATAGATTGTTCTGTTGCTACCAGAAGTTTGAGGATATTTAATTTAGAGTTTCTATTACCATATAAATTTGTGAATGCACTATACTAACACGAACTAACTAACCTATTGTAGTTTTCAATGATTGATTGAGTAAAACCCATGCATTATGTAAAAAAAAATGTTTTCGGCTATTCGTTTTGCTTATGATATAATCAAGTGGTATTGTAATGATCAAAAGCTCAGGTGCGGTAAGCTAATTTATTGTTTAATGCAGAATTATATTGTAGCTTATTAAAATATGGAAATCATACATTCAATACGTAAATTGCATGTTTTCCCTCAGTTTTTCTGTACATACTTCACCATTCTTCCGATCCTGTTCTAATTCCGATCGTCATCCGTTTCCTTTCCTTTTCCCTTTATTTCACTCTACTGCTAGTAAGTATCCAACTTCCAATTCCTGCTATATACTGCTTATGTCTGTCCAACCATTGTATGGTAATGTACAGAGTGCTTGTGTTTCAGTGTGTTTTAACTGGACAATTTTTTATAAATAATCTACTTTTAGTATAGGGGGATTTGTGGAAATTGTAGAATTTTCATAGCTTAAGACACAAACTGATCTCAGCTGAACTAATATTAAAAACCTGGAAACACTGGACGGCTCACTCTCCCTAGTATTGGATTCATCATCAGTACACATCTTCGACTCTGCATCTGATGATCGAATCTAAAACTCTCGGTCTCGGATGCGAACGCCAATCTAATGACTTCTTAGTTGACGTCCAACGGTGTAAATATCTAACTTCAATGAACTCAAGATGTTCCACAACCTTCTTACACACTACATGATAGAACTCCACTAGCCACAGCTTCTCACTAGAACTCCGGCAATTTTATTCTGAAGCTTGTCACTTGTGAGTAGATAATAATAATAATTATTATTATTATTAGTAGTAGTAGTAGTTGTTGTATAGAGGAAATTCGTAGAGTTTGTAAAATTCTCATAGTTTAAATCATCAATTATTCTACTGAGAAGTCCCATACTATGGCAAAACAGTCATCCACTCCTTTCAGTTTTCCAGTCATGATTTTGGCTAAGATCCTTTCATGATTTAAACCATGCAATATATTTATTTTCATGTAAACGAATCACTAACAGTTTTTAAAAGAAAAAAGGATGATCACATTCATTTGATCTATTCTTCATCTAAATATTTCTCAGACAAAAATAAAACGATTATGTGTATGTGTACTCTTACCAAATTTGTTTATGTGAAAATAAACATTAATATGAATTAATAAACACTGTAGAACTTGAATGAAGTCACACACACACACACTTTATTTCTTCCCATAATTTAAACACTTTTCCCATTTACATTAATCTTACAAAGAGAGTATAAGTTTTGTTTATGTTTGGAAAACAATTTAGTTAACTAATAACACAACACAATCATTACAATGCTTTCCACTATCGAGATGAGAAGTTCAATTTTGAAATGTGGAAGAGTGAAACAGGACAAAGGCGTCTAAACACAGAGAGTATTTATGACGTAATCAATCATAAAATTCTCAATTAATTTTTCTTGTTCTACATCTTTTATCCAAATGTGATATTGTCTCAGTTGATCTTTATTTTCTCACAAATTTTACATGTTTCCTTCAGATTTTCATTTTAGTTAACTGTTTATGCATGTGTTTTTTCTCTTTTCAATTTAATCATTTAAAGAATAATGTAATAACAAACATAAATATAGTTTATTGTATTGTATCTAACTGTATATTCAATGTTATTTTCATGTTTCATTGTTAATTCCTCATTTTTACCAGGTCATACACCCATATGTTGTTTTTATTTTCCCATCAGATAAAAATGGTAATGTTTATGTTTGTTTTTTAATTTTAAAAGGTTTTATGAATAGAATTATACTAGTTGGAATGTGAAGATTGGCATGGATTACCAATGGATTAGACTGACTACATTAGAAATGGATTAAATTGAAATAACTGGAAACTATTCAACAATACTTAAAGTTGTTGTTCTTAATAATTTTCTCTAAAATTATTAAATTTATTTCTTTTCCAATAGTCTTCGAGAAAAAAGTTAATTGGAGGCAATTAACTATTCTCTTTATTTCGTTGGTTCTACATGTGTGAATTTCATTAGAACCATGGTTTGACCTTAGTTAAACCGCCATTAAAAACTTGGAATTACTGGAAGATCACTTCGTCGTAGTATGGAACTTCCAAGTAATGACGATCTTCGACCCACAAGTTGGAATCGTATTTAGGATATTCGGTTTTGCGCAAAGACTTTTCACATGTAGACAACTGAACTGGCATTCGACGGTGTTTATATCTAATTCCAGTCGGTTCATGAAATCCAAGTCTCCACAGTCACACGTTATCAAAATTAATTATTTACCTTTTCATTATTTTGATATGTAAGCATGTAAGATAACATTTCAGCTAGTGAATGATCATTGAGAATCAAACAGAGTAGTGGACTATCTTGTTAACCTTATCACCGATGTTACTGGGTTTCAATGATCTATATTTTTAGATGCTTATAATTCATAACTGACATTATTTTCACCATTGATTAGATTTGGAAATTCACTTCAGTTTACATGTAAAATCATGGTTTTTTATTTCGTTTCAAGATGAATCGTCAGTACGTACAGCTTGAAATAACAAGGATGTTAGTCACTGCCAAGTATCGTTTGAGATTCAATTATTGTTTTAATTAAGAGAATCAAATGTAGTTTAGCGCAAAAATTACTACTTCAGGATGCCATTTTCTAAAGCGTTTAGGTTATATTCATAATTGGTGCATATAAAAAGTTATCTTTTGATAAACATATTGTTTTTTTGTTGGTAAAGAATTCTTTAAGGATGAAAAAGCAACGGAGTAGTAAATATATAAGGACAAGTATATTGTCCTACAATATGTAAATTGTTTTTGTTTTTACATTGAAGTATAAGTTTAATGGGGTTTAAACAAAAGGAGAATGCGAAAAAATAGCAATCAGGATTATAATCATTAAATGCAAATCCATAATACAAATTTCTGTCATCGATTGATGTGTTGTGAGCATCCAAACTGCACCAGTATTGGATCTTCACTCAATCACTTCGTTTAATTTTGCAAGTAGTTTTTTTAAGATCACTGTTAAGAAGTGATTGAAATCAACTAAGTATCTCAAACACTCAGCTGTTGTTTGATTAATATTTTGTCAATGACTAAAGAGAGTAACGTAAAAGAGCATTATCTGTCTTAACAAATATTGTGGTGTGTACTACTGATGTCG